TTGTTTGAACTGTCAATGGATATGATATGAGACACGACTCGCGAGTGGGTAATGAATGGTTCAATTGGTGGACACTTACCTCTTCGGCCGCGTACTTGAGTACAGCAGTGAAGGGGGCGTTGTCGGGCACCGTTAGCCTGTGATCAGTGAAGTGGTGGTTATTAAGTGACCGATAGATCGGGGATTAGATAACGAGATAACAATGGACTCACACTTTGTAGGGAAGCTTGGGATCAGATGTGAGTGTAATCTTAAAGGTGATCTTCGAGGCAGGACTCGGAGCTGAGGCGGTGGCGGCGGCCCTAAGACATGGATAACACAGGTTAGTGGACGGGTATGCGAGGGAACGGTAGGCGAGACATACATTTGCGGCGATTTGTATGCGATTTATAACACAATTAAACGTCAATTGAATGACAGATTAAATGCCACGCAATTCAGTGCCAATACCTATGGGGGCCTCACATATAGCACGTGACACTCAGAGCACGTGTTTGGATACGTTTTTCGCACAACACATGTGTTTGTGTTTACAATCGGTTTGTCTTTGATTTGTTTAGTGGTTTTGTCTCAAGACATCTGATCCCATAAGTGATGCCTAAAGTACACGAAGAGGTGCTGATGAGGAAACTCAAGAAGCGATTGAAGCATAAGGAGAAGCAACGCGTGAAGAATCGTGAGCTCCAGAAACAAACGGACGACCACTTGGACGACAAGTGCGATGATATCGATGAAGACACGGGTGACCACAGAAAGAGGACTATTGGCGATAGGATTGAGACAAATAACAGTAATTATCTCATAATGTCTGATGGCTTTGGTCTTAATGTCTCGTTTGTATGGGTTTTATAGAAAAGTTTAAATCAAGTGAAGAGCCGACTGTCGGATCAAATGAAGAGATTGATGACGACGACGACGAAGATGGCGAGGAATGTCCACAACTGGTGACAGCGGACAGCATTCCCTTCAATACGTCGCTGACTGTCACCCGATTTGATGAGCTGAAGGACAAAGTGTCTGATTTGACACTCAATGCCATCAAAGACATGGAGTTCTCGCAAATGACCGAAATTCAGTCGAAAACCATTCCTCACCTCTTGGAGGGAAAGTACGGATTAACTCATTTGATGTGCACTTTATATCTGTTATAATGTACTACTGATTGGTGTTCAGGACTCGAGAAATATTGAGATATTTTTATTACAAAACTAATGGAAACTAATGTGTGATTATCTGTCGGACAGGGATCTGGTGGGCGCCGCCAAGACTGGAAGCGGTAAAACTCTAGCCTTTCTAATACCAGCCATAGAGTTGATGTATAAGTTGCGGTTTATGCCGCGCAACGGCACCGGTATTCTCATCATATCCCCCACTCGGGAGCTATCGATGCAGACCTTCGGTGTACTCAAAGAACTGATGAAATATCACAAACAAACGTATGGCCTGATTATGGGCGGCACTAATCGCCAATCAGAGGCCCTGAAGCTGACCAGAGGTGTGAATATAGTGGTGGCCACTCCGGGCCGGCTGTTGGATCACTTGCAGAACACCAAACAGTTCCTGTTTAAGAACCTCCAGAGTCTGATCATCGATGAGGCCGACAGGAT